GCAGCAGCAGCAGCAGAAGCAGAAGCAGCAGAAGCAGCAGAAGCAGCAGCAAAAGGAGGAGGAGCAGAGCCTGTTGGTGCAGCAGGCATTTGTAACAGGGGATGAAGAGCAGCAATTTTTGGCGGAGGCGGAAGCAGAAGAAAAAGCAGAAGAAGATTGTAAGACTACAGCAACCCACACTGCTTCCTCCCAGCCCTTCTTGCTGCAGCGGCATGCGCAGCTGCATGCGCAGCTGCACGCGCAGCAGCATGCGCAACAGCATGCGTGGGCTGCAGCATGCATGTCCTGCAGCATGCGCAGCGGCATGCATGCGCAGCAGCATTTGTGCATCCACAGCGGCAAAGCAGCATTTAAAAACGAAGATGCATGACTTTTGGAGCTGCATGCATGCGGCTGCACGCGAAGCAAAGTGCTTCTTGCGTGCATGCACTATGCATGCGCAGCAGCAAACCTGCTGCATGCAGGGAATCCAATTTGTGCGAAAACTCGTGCAGTGGATGCTGCTGCTGCTGTGTTTTGTGTCTGCAGCAAATTTGCTGCCGGGATGGGGCTCGTGGGTGGGCGCGGGCGTGAAGCAGCCCAAAAAAAAGAAAGATTCAGCAGCAGCAGCTGCTGCAGCAGCAGCAGCTGCAGCAGCAGCAGCAGCCAAGAAAACGAAGCCCCTTGTCATTATTAACACCAAAGACGATAAGAAGAGCAGCAAATACTTCGTGTCTCAGGTACGCTTCGCTGCTGCTGCTGCTGGGTCTCATCAGCCGACTACGCAATGCCCACTGCGCAGCAGCAGCAGCAGCAGCAGCAAGATGTTTGCGTTTTTTGCTGCTGCAGCTGCCCAAGTACATGAGCCCCGAAGAATATGCAGCACAAGTGAAGCAGCCTGTGGGGCCCGAGTGGAATTCTGCTGCTGCTCACCGCCGGCTAATAGCCCCCCGAGTGAGTTTTGCGGCGCTGCTGCTCACTGCAGCTTTTTTCCTTTTGCTGCTTCGATTCATCTTTTTGTCTTTTTCCTTATTTTCAATTTGTTTCTTTTTCTGTTTGAGATATTTTGATATTTTGGCTGCTGCACCTCCCTGGGGATTTTCGTCTAAGCCGCATTTGTTGTTCGTTTGTTGCCTCGCTTTTGCTGCTGCCGTTCCTCTTTTAGCTGCAGCAGCAGCAGCAGCAGCTGCTGCTGCTGCTGCTGCGGAGCCCCCGAAGCTCCTTAGGAGAGCCACACTCCCGCTTCTTTCTTTGCTTTTCTGAAAAAGAATTGGCCCCCTGCAGCAGAATTTGAGCCGTCTGCGCTTTGTGCTGCCGCTGCTGCTGCTGCTGCTGCTGCTGCTGCAGGTGGATGTGAGGGTAGGGGCTGTGGTGCCGCCTTTGCAATCCGCCAAGCTGCTGCATCCAGAAGCTCGGGAGGAGCTTTTGAATTTGTGGGCCCTCAAAGGCAGCAAAAAGAAACGCTCACAAGTTCGTCTTTGAGTTGCTGCTGCTGCAGCGTTGCTGCTGCTGCTTCGGCGGCGTCTTTCGCTGCAGCTGCTGCTGCTGCTGCGCCGCACGGCGGCTGCAGCACAGCAGCACGGACAGCATTTGCTGCAGCATTTGCTGCAGCTCCGACTCAGACAGTTAGCAGCAGCAATAGCTGTAAGGCTTTATTTGTTGTTTTATTCTTTAAGACTTTATTGAGCGCTGTGCGCAGCCTAATACAATATGAGCCTCTGCTCGCTTCTAGGGCCCCATAACGCCTACCTGGCTAGCTAGGGGATTGTGCTTTAACTACGCAGTTAGCTAGCCATCTAGCTAGCTAGCCAGCTAGCTAGCTAGCTAGCTATCGAGCCAGATGGCCAGCTAGCTAGCTACCTAGCGTGCAGAGTGGCTAGCTGGCTAGTGCGTTTGCGACGTCGCTGTGTGGCTAACTGTGTGTTGAGCCAATGCTGGACTGTTTGGTTAGCTACCTGCTTCCCCTGGTAGCTAGCCAGCTAGTTGGCTGGCTGCAGCTGGCTGGCTAGCTGCTAGCTGGCTAGCTAACTACTTCTGGCTAGCTAGCTGCTTCTACGCAGTTATCCCGATACCCTCAGCTAGTACCTCAGAGTTGACAAAAAGCTTTTAAATGTTAATTCGAAACGGGCCCCTAGGGGGCCCCCACTGAGAGTTTCCCACGGAGGGGCCCCCAAGAGAGGGCCCCCGAGAATTCCGGCGGGCCCCCAAGGAGGCTCCAGCTGCTGTGTCTGCTGCTGCTACACTCAGCTGCTGCTGCACTGGACTTCTTTATTGCCTCATTTCTTATCTTTTCTGCTTCAGCAAACCAGTGCTGCATTTCAGTGACCCTGGCTAGCCCACGGGGCCCCGGGGCCCCGGGGCCCCAGTGACCCGGGGGGCCCCCGGGGCCCACAAGCTGCATGCAGGGCAGCAGCAGACATTGCAACCCGAAGAAAAGAAAAAATTTACTAAATTTGCTTTTTTTTTGCTGCTTAAACTGCAAAAAGCAGCAAGATAAAGACCCGAAACGGAAAGTTGCAGCAGCAGCTGCTGCTGCAGCAACAGCAGCAGATGCAACGCTGCTGCAGCAGCCGACGGACAAGCTTCGGCAGTCTTTATAGAAGAAAAAGGCGAAGCAGGAAAGTATAGTGGCATTGGAGCTGCCAAAGCTGCAGCGGCAGCAGCAGCAGCAGCAGCGGCAGACCAGCACAACCATCATCAGCAGCGGAAGCTGCTGCTGCAGCAGCCGTTGCTGCAGCAGCGTTCTTTAGACACCAAGAAACGTGTAGAGCCTCAGAGCTGAGGGAAGATCTTCGAGCTGGCAACCCCTACTGCAGCACTCAGTCTAGTCTCTGGGAACCCCTAAGCGACAGCAGCAGCAGCAGCAGCAGCAGCAGCAACAGCAGCAGCATAGTCAAAGAGCTGCACACAAAGAAATAAAATATAGGGAGGGGGGAGAAAGAGAAGGCTAACCAGCACTGCATCATGGATAGGAACAGGGTGACAGATTCGGCAGACGATGATATTCAGGTCCGTTTCTGCTGCTGCTGTTGCTGCTGCTGTTGCTGCTGCTGCTGCTGCTGCTGCTGCTTCTGTTGCAGGTCATAGTGGGCGACGGCCTCGATGGGGTTACAGCAACATTTATTCCTGAAGGAGAAG